AAACACTGTCAAACTGAGATGTTTAAAAAAAAAAATAATTACAGTCATCCTGACCTTAGAGTACTATATGCTGACACCTCTGAACTTGCTTCTGCTGTGTGTGCCAAAAGACACCAGAAATACATTGTTTTGTGGCCTGTTTTTTTTTTTTTTTCTTCCATCAACTCTTCACATGTGGGTTTGGTATGGCATCTGGGAAGTGCTCACGGTGCTGCAGCTGCACTAAAGAACCGTTGGGATCTCGCGTGTCGTTCTAGAGGGCCACTGCTTGCAGCAGCGTTCTGACCTTGTTACGTCTTAACAGCATTAAGCACTGGATTAAATTGCAAAAGCTCTCCGCGATATTTTCCTATACTGTGCAGAAATTGAGACACAGACCTGGGGTAAGTGCTAAGTTAGAAGCGACTGCTGGCTCTAAGATACGGGTATGAGAAAGGGGACAGAACAGGTGTTCAGAGAAGAGCAGACGCTTTATTTTTGTGTTAAAATCATTAGCACCTCCATTGGGAAAAGAGATTTCTCATTTCCTTTGGCTAATTCCCCAAGGACTTAAAAGCATGGTGCCTTTTCTAGTGGTATAATGTCTCAGATTCTTGTTTTGCAGGAGACATACAAGAAAAGGCTATATCCTTTCTTCCAGGTGCTGCTTTTGTTTGCATACGGTACTTTTATTTGTCAGTTGATGTTTCTTAAAATAGAATGTCATATATGGTTTTGGTAGTTTTAAAATATGCTAGTGTGATATGACTGGTAGTGAAAACTTACCTTGTCACCTGCATTTTACCAGTTCCATAATATCTACAGCTACAAGCTGTCCTTCAGGTCGTGCGTTCTCAAGAATTACCGCGCAAGGTTATATCCAGATCATGCCGTGTTCACCCGGGTGTGGTGATCTCTAGGATGATGTTTGCAGTTGTCCTTACATCTCTGCATGGGCCCTCTCACAAAGTTTCTTCAAGCGATAGAAACTGGTGACGCTTTGCTGTTTATGCTGTCAGCTGTCTCCATGTGGAGCCGGTTACCATGTGGCTTATTTCTGACTTGTTTGCGAGTTACTCTGGCTGCATGTGGGAGTGGGAAGCGTAAGCTTCTGGCTTCTCTCAGGAGAGCCTGGAAGAGGGATGCTGTTGCCTCTGAACTAAGGAGAATGACCGAACTACCCAAGTGTTTCTCCTTATCTGTATTTTTCTTGCTTCTCAGGCATGTCACAATGCAGCAGATTTCTTTGCAAGATGCCATGGATATCTGTTGAATCTAAACATAGCAAAATCAGGCCATGTTAATGTGTAGTTGCGGCGTGGTGTGGTTTTTAGTTTGAATCACTTTTTTTTTAAATCATAAAGTGAATTAGGATTTCAAGTGTAAGCTACTGTATAGATACAGTGAAGTACGTAACTAAACCTTTGTTTCAGCAGAGAAGGCCAAAAAGGACAGGCTGTTGTTCCTTTTTAGCAGAGCTATAAACTAAAACATCTTTGCACATTTTGTCTTCCCACTGATAATGTTTCAATTTACTAGTTGTCCTCCAAGCTGATAGAACTTTTAACAGATAAACTCCTGGATGTTTCAAGTAAGAGGGAACTCAGATTTAAAAAAAAAAAAGCTTCTTGTTGAACTTAATAATACAGAAAGCGCGCAAGAGAGATACCTTTCAAATACCACATGCAGAAAAAAAAAAAAATAACCCACACTTTATTTTTGACCTATTTTCTTCTGACACCTAAGTGAACCATAAAAGATGTATTAAAAAGAAAAGTGGGGGGGGGGGACAGGACGACAACAACACTCTTAGTTGTGATTCTCCTGGAAATAATTCATTTTTCCAGCAGATAAATCTCCAAAAACACTTTCTGGAAAGACAAATACAGTCTCCAAACTGGAGAGATTTCAGCTTGGCTTATGTCCAATCCTCATTACTCTCCTTTGTACACAGTAAAAGGAGATAAGTTTTAATTGGACTTGATGTTACTTTCTGACATATCTTAAATTAGCTGCTTCTGCCTTGGCATTAGGGCAGAACTTTAAATAAAACCAGTAACTGTTTACTGCTGATAAATGACTAGTTTACCAAAGAGTTTAAATATTGTTGACTTGATTCTAATCCCCTGGGACTCTGTTCATCCATGTGGATTTCAGTGGAATTCCTCTGTAAGGCAAAGTGAACTGACAGCTTAAAAGTTCAAGATGAATTTGAGGTCTCTCAGATGTCTTTTTAAGCAGTGAAACTCTCTTAGCATACAGCTATACCAAATTTACACTTGTGTATTGATTAATTTTTTAAGAATTATGTCGTGATGTAAAGCTTTCTCTGCTTTGCAATACTGATGGTTGCCCTTTGTTTTTCAGACTTTTTAAAAAAAGATCGAAACAAATCACTTTTTCATGAATCGTCAAAATAAGCTTAGGGAATGTTGTGGTGCCATATCCTAAAACCTAGTTCAGTTGGAAGTGGAGTAGTGCTGTGCTAAAGGCTTCCTGGCCTTCACACCATCTTCACTAGCGAGATTGCATAGCACACGAGATCTCGTAACAATTTCTGCGGAATCCTAACAAGGGAGGACATGTGTCCCTTTAAAATCAAATTTGAGTTGCATTTTCTAGTATTGTGGTGTAAAATGTTCTTTGTTTTCCTCGGACAGGAATAGTTCAGATCTTCTAGAGCCATGAAAGGGAATGAACTGTACTTGTACTGTACAAGATGGACAGAGTTGCCCTTACATGGTTACATTGCACCAAGTCGTGAAATTCTTTTCTGTTACTTACGAGGACTTGGCAGTGACATCCTAAAGACATCTGATTTAACTGGGGCTATTTTTGTGTCTTTGGCCAAAATTTTGCTACTCAGACAAGAGCCTATCTGCTTATTAAAACACCTGGGGTTTTTTTGGTAGGAGCTTGTAGATGTCTCATAATACTGATTTTTCTTTTAAGCCTTGACATTCTTTTGATGAACTACCTGGTGTTGAAAGGCTGCTTTAGTCAATCTCAGCTGTAAGTGTGTTGTGGTCAGAGGTCCAGGGTTAGGAGGAGGCCACAGCATCTCCAGTTGCTGCGGGTACAGAATTAGCAGCTCTGATAACATCACCCTTGCTCGCGAGGTGCCAAAGAGGCAAAACGCTGCCAAGGCTGGGAGAAAGCAAGAGGCAACTTGCTTCCTTGGCATCACTTGTGCTTCACTGCAGAGAAAGGAGCACTGTGACTCACAGGAGGCATAAAAGAAGCCAAGAGTGTCTTTTGCCTTCCAGTATATCCATGACTGCTGCCATCTGCTTCCTGGCTCAAGCTCCCGAGGAGTGCGGAGCGGGGGCTGTCTCACCAGTGCTCCCTACAGAAAGGCAGCTGGGACAGCTTGCGAGGGGTGTAGTTTATTTTCCTGAAGCGTGCAGTGAAAGCCTACCTAGAGGACTGAGCTAAGCTGTTACACTAGATTTGGCAGCAATTTTGTCTTTCAGTTGGATGTTAGGGAGAGCTGTCTATTCCCATCTGTTTTGTTCAATTGCTGTCATTCGCGGTGGTAACACAGAGATAAAAACACCTCTGCTGCAAATATTACTTTCAACAAGTTAAGGGAGGTTTTGATTTTTAGTGAACTCGTTGATGACCGTTTGTGTTGAGGCATCCCAGGGGAGGCAGCTTCCCCATATGTATGTTGGACTAATCAGCCATGGAAAAAACCATAGAAAACTAATTAGGCATTTTTTCCTGCTGGGAAATACACTATTGTTTAATATCAGACAGGAGTTCTCCTTGACTAAATCCTCATTGGGAACTGCGGGTATTGAGATTTTAAGAATTAAGAACAATTAAGGTCAATGTGGGATTGTTTATTTAATGTCTTGTTATGAAAAAGGTATTATTTAACATCTATTCTCAGATAACCAATAGTGAGTAAAACAAACGTGGCCAGGCTGAACCAAGCATTCTGCAGTGTGCATACCCAAGCTTTAGTCTGTTAATAAATCCTGTTCTGTGGTTTCTTTCTACTAGACTGGGACTGTGAAGAAAAGCAGACACATGCCTCTTGCGCTGAGGATGCGGGACCCTGAGTTTGGGAGCAGAGCCTTAGCTGGTTTTTGCAGTCCTGGGGCGGGTTGACCATGGCCGGCTGCCAGGCGCCCACCCAGCCACTCCCTTGCTCCCCCTCCTCGACAGGACAGAAAATAAGATGAAAAAGCTCATGGGTGAAGGCAGGGAGATCACTTAGCAATTACCGTCATGGGTCAAAATGGGAAAATTAATTTACTGCTTATTAAAAAGGAGTTGGATGGTGAGAAACCCCTTCCACCCTCTTTTCTCAGGCTCAGCTTCAGGGCAACACCCACTCTGGTGCCTGGAGCTGCCTGTCCTCCCCCGGCCCCAGTGCTCACGGGGCTGTCTCTCACAATTATTATTTTTACCTCACCTATTTCACCCGTTCTCACACGTGTTTTCCCCGCCGCGTTGCTGAGGAGCCCCGCTGTGCCCTGTGGTGGGCTGGAGATGGCCGGGTCCGGCATGAGGCGGCACAGCTCTCCTCCCCATCAAAAGGTGGTGAAAATAAAAACTTGTGGTGCTACAACTGGTGATGAGCTTCACCAAACAATGCCTTGTTTTAGTGTTGTGTTTCTCCTGTGGCTTTATGGAGACACGTATAATTATCCACGTCTCACACCTGGGAAAGCGATGGCGCTCCAGATGTGAGGTATGGTCATGGGTCAGGCATCTGATAGCGCCAGGATTAAAATGCAGATCTTGGGAGCCCCAGAGCTGTACATATATTATCTGTTAACCCACAGCAGATGTTCTTCTGAGAGGATGGAGGACGATCCTTGTGCAGGGAGGCCAGGCTTGCTGGGTGTTGACTGGAGATTATTGCAGGAATGGAAGTAAAAGTCACGCTTTACATTTGGATGAGCTGATTATAAACTGTGTGCTAGGACACCCCACATACATCAAAATTAAGCTGTTGCTTATTTGGCTCTAAATACAATAATCTTTTCACTGCTTTTGTAGGGCACCAGAGTCCTGAGAATCACCTTGATCCATCCATCGATGCATACCAAAAGGCATCCTGATGTGAAGTTACTCAGATTGTTGCCCAGTTGCCGTGCCTGTCAGGTAAGTAAGGTTGAGCAAAAACTCTAAGATACTGAGTGTTTTATTTCACAAAACAGCATTTTCAGAAAGTGTTTAGCACAACTCTGTATGGGTTGCTCATTGAGCTGGGAAATATAATAGTTCATGCTCTAGGCAAAGTGTTTCAAATGTCTGAGGCTGAATAAAAATAGCACTTCAAAATAAATTGAGTAGTGCACTGGGGAGGTGGCAGAGATCATTACTTGTAGCTTGTCCCTGGTTCATTCAGTTCTTTCCTTTACAAGGGCTAGAAAGGTTGGGGATTTAATTCTGCCCTTGACTAGATTGGTGCTAAAAGAAAGGGATTTACATGCCTGATTTCTGTTCTGACCAATGGAGCCATGCTCGCAGCAAACTCCCTCTGCATTCCTGGGAAAATGGGGTCATTTGTGCCGGATCACTCAGCCAAGCGCACGAGCCGGATCTGTGACTGTACAGCCCACGAGCCAGCTGTGCTGAGGAAATAACGACCTTAAAAAGTCGGCACTGCAGTTGAGTTCGGTGTCTGATGATGGGTCACTTTTGCTGCTGTCTTGTGTCTGCCCTCAAGCGCCTGGAACCATCATCCCAGAGTTCAGTACATTAGCTGGCAATCTCAAACTTGGAAGAATTTCCAGGCGGGCTGACCATAATCTGAGAATCTAAGATTGCCTGTACCCAAAAATAAGTAAATAAAAGGAAGCTAATCCCAGATGGTGCTGATTAAAATGCGAGCTACAAAAAGGCAGATTAAGGAAGCAGCTTTCAGGCTGCAAAGTATATTACCTGAGAGGGAGCTTGATCTCTGTAGCACAGAGCTCATATTTCTGGAAACCCAGCACATCTTGACACAGCACTGCCTTTGGAGAGCCTGCATCCTCCTGCAGAAGATAACGGTGCCAAGCTTTGGGTCTTTTGATCACAGAGAGAATTGATGTCTTGGCAGTCACTTTCTTGCCAAGTGATACAAGTGTGACCATGTTAGGCATAAACCTTTTCAGGGTAAAGGGAGGTGATTTTATAATATTTTTCTGACCTTCTCCCAAATGCTGCACTTGTCTAGGGAACGGGAGGCTTTGCAGGTGTGGGACAGGTGGCAGTGTGGCCAGTGTTCATTTCTGATCTTGGCTACTGAATGGTAGGTGTCAGACCTGGTTTGGTCTTAAGGCCCCACATGCAGATTTTTTTTTTATTTTCCAAAATGTATTTTGTCACGTATCTCTGTGGGTTTTCTTTTTCAAGCTGGTTTAAGACTATCCTGACAGCAGTATTAAGCCTTGCCTCAGTTGGAACCAGTGCTGACTCACTGTAGTCAGTCTTAATTCCCTGCAAACTCTAAATATTCAGGCATCACACACATGTATGTATAACAGCTTTCCATGCGGTTATGTCAAAATCTCAAACTATGTCACTTCGTCAGATATCTTGTGGCTCATGTCTGTTCTGTTACTCAACCTTCACTGATTTCAGTGCCTTTAAAAAAAAAAAAAAAGAAAGAAAAAAAAGTGCTGTTTGTTTCTACTGAGCAGAGAGCTGTTCCTGGCATGCTTCCCCAGAAGTGTGCATCACAGGCATTCAGAAAAACTAGAGCACTGGGGCCAAGGCTCAGGAGACCTAGTTTCTACTTCTGACAGTGACATTTCTTTTTGAGCAAGACCTGTTGACTGCTACATCCTATGCTAGAATTTACCCATCTCTAAAATAAATGTGATTAAAAAAGTAGGAAGCTTTGAATCCATCCGAGGAAGGAGTGCTCAGAAAACGCAATATGAGGAGTTCTTTAAATAACTGTTATACGAGGAATATACTTTGAAGATCTGCGGTAAGGTCAGTAGAGTTGAGCCAGAGGCAGGTGTCTTAATTTACCATTTTAACTTCTGATTTTATCCTCTATTCAGCAGGGAAATTTTACATCACCGGTTTTCTGGACATGCAAATAAATAATCCAGGTATCTTTTTTTTTTTTTTTTTCTCTTTTTGAATCTAGTACCATTTATGAGGTTAGGACCATCTGAGAGTTTTAAGTAGTAGGTAATGAGAGGGAGGATCATATCAAAGTTGACTGGTGGAAAGAGTGACTCTGATTTATAGCACTCTGCAGCTTGAGATAATGCCTCTGGTATGTGGCAACTCCAAAATGCAAACAGCTGTGCTCATGGGGAGCCTGTTCTCAGCCAGCCATTCCTTCTACCAGTAGCTATGAATGGCACAAAGGACTGATCCCTGCTACCCCAGGGCTCACAGCTGTACCTGCCGTGTTTGCTCCTACTCCTCTGGCCCAGTCTAAAGATTTCTCTGAGGTCAGTGGAGCCTTTAATACAAATGCACAAGATACCATCAGGTTTAGATTGCCATCTTCCTGAATCTGCAAAACACAAAGCTACATGGAACACTCCCCAGAAGTGCTCAGAGCTGGGAACAGAACAGACCAAGAGAAATTCCGGCAAAGGTGGTGGCAACTGATTCTAGCTCCAGATAACAGTTGTTATCAGAGAAGCTCATAAATCCACCCAATCTAAACAGAGTGTCAGCCAGCATCCCGTTCTGTGTTGTGTGTTGCCTCAAGGGATCTACAGCTGCTTGTTCTGATCAACGACATCCATTCTGTCCTTTAGGTTCCCCAAAGTCACTATTTCCTGGGAAATGTTTGTGGGGATGCTAGATCTGAATGTCTGTGTGGCCTTAGGGAGAAGGAGCAGAACAGGTTACTGTTCCAATAAACAGCCCCAAATTATGGTTTGGCTGTCACTCAGGCGGCTGAAAAATGGACTAATGAGTAAAACAACATATATTGGCCAAAAAACAGCATTCCCAAAGTCTGGAGGTTGTTTAAATGTCGGCTTTGGGATCTGATTTTCTAATCCAAAATTGGAATATGAAAAGTCTTTGTTAAAACAGAGTGCCAGGGTCTCTCCTGGGACTTGTAATTAGACACCCAATAGCCCCACGCTTCTTGAAGCACAAACACACCGATAGCGTCGCCTTCGCCACGTCGCTGTCACCCTTCTGGTGTCATCACTGCGTTTGCAGAGCTACCCTGCACCTTGGGGGATGAAGATTACTTGAGGAGAAGGACACAAGACCACACCATGATAATCTATGTATCTTAACTCCGCTTTTGCCTCAAGAATTTGTTTTGAGGTACTATGGCTTAATAAAAACAAGGCAGACCTTTGGGAGAAAATTCATGTTTACTTCTTGAAAAAAAAAAAAAACAAAACAAAAAAAACCCACAGCTTTGTTATGGAAAACTATGGATTTGCTGTTAAAGAATGATGTAGATGTGAGAAGATGAGCATCCCCGTCAAGTAATTGGTCCCGAGTACAGTGTTAGGCTGGCTGTCATGTGCTCCAAGTGATTTCTCAACTCATTCCTGCTACATGGAAAAAATATTTTGTATTGTGGTCAGCCATGCCTTTTAGGGAAGTACGGCAACAATTATGAGGAGCAAGAGGGAGTCGTGACCTTGCTATTATTCCAGCAACTCTATTAGGGGGAAATCTGTGGGTTTATTTCAGCTATGCTTTGGCTCTTCCAGCAAAGAGTTCTGTAGTTTCCAATATGCCGAAAAGAGCATAAGGGGATTTTGCCTCCACTGTCATAACTTTTGAATGACCTCGCAGAACAAGGACTAGATGATGAAGTGACCTCATAAAATACTCTTTTAGGAAAACACCGTATCATACACTGCTGGGTTGAATTGTCTGGAATAGGATGCTGGGAATAGCTCTGACATTTTCTATGATCCTGTAAAACAAGACTCTGGACTCGCCCCACAAAGTGGAGAGAGAGGTATGAACCTGTGAAACTTGGTGTCAGCCAAGGCGATGTGTCAAATCTCTACCGCAGCTTGCAGTGTAAGCGGAGGGGCATGGAGAGGGGAAGGTTGTTCCTTCTGCTATATGAAAAGGTTCAGGATCTTGGCTACCTTCAGAGGTGTGCAGCGTGGCCTCCCTGACTTCTGTGGTGAGGAAACTTAGGTCACAAAAGCTGTGTCCTTCTATATATCCAGGTAAGTTCTACACAGGCTGGTTTGTGCCTAAGTAAAATAGTATCTGTATGCTGACACTCAGTGCTGGAACAGCTCTGGCACCAGGGATGACATGCTGCAAAGTGGTATTCCCAACCAGCAGCTCTGGGGAGCAGCATTTAGGGGAAGAAATTGATAAAATGGGAGGAGAGTGGCGCAATCATATTTTTTTCCTTTTGTAAAAGGTCATTGAAAGAGAGGAGCAGATGGAAATGTTTTATGTTTAGTGAAAGGTGAATACAGGTTGGGCAGCAAGCTCTTCTTACTGTCCAGAAACGAGCTGCCTACCGAAGTGCTGAGCCTGTGATCTTGCTTGAAAAACCATCCCAACACAGCATCACACGGTACGGAAGCGTCAGTATGGACAGAGGCATTTCTTCCTGCACTGTTTTGAAATGCATTGCACCAGGCGGATGAGATGTTTTACAGCTGGATGCAACCCTCTCTCGTGGTTGAGAAAGGAGGGAAAATGGACCAGACCAGAGAACAAAAGGTGAGATGTGAAGAGAGGCAGAGTGGCGTGGTAGAGAGAGGTAAAGAGCAGGGAAGCCTCAAAACTGGAGCTGATGCCACCAGAACAGGAGATCTGCTGAGCATCTGGAGTGGGTCTGCTGATTCCCCATCCTGGCCTGCCCTGCTTGTAAGGAGGGATAGAGCAGGGTAAATGCAGGAGCAAGGGACACATTCAGGCAGCAGTGGATGAGGAAAGGAGCGAGCAGCTGACGAGACACTTCTCAGTCATCATGACTTGGGGGCAATTTCAAGGAAATCTGTGCTGAGATCTGGAGGGAGGTACTGCTGCCTGCTGGAAGAGATTGGGAAGGGAGCGGTTTTGTGTATTTATACGCTATGTGGGGCCCAGACATTCAGATCACTGTGCAAGCACTGCACTGCCACGTGTTCTTTGTAAACGCGGGGACAATCACAGCTGAGTGTGTACTTTCTAACCAGCTGCGCCGCATTCATCTGCAC